AAGGCAGCGCAGACGCGGCCTGCTTCGGTGTCACCGCTCCAGCGAGAAGCAGCGGGGCTCGGCTGCACGAGGGTTCGCACCCCTGCTTCCTATTTAGCTGCTGCACCCTCCCTGGCGAGGGGAGGGATAAGAAAATGCAGCAGGAAGATGAAACCTCTTAATGCAGTCTTATGAAGCATTTCATTTCATCAAAAATATTTGTGTGCATTGATCCCTGCATCGAGATATAAAAAAGCATGAAGAGGAATCTCGGTATTCACAGCTCTCCTTAAATCCTAGTAGCTCCGCACGAAGAAACCATGCGTCACTGTCAGCACGTACTGGGGACAATAGTACCCAGCAAATCTGGGCTGTCAAAAAGCAGAACTGCCCTTAAAAATACATATGGGGTGTGAAAAGAGCTCGGGGAATTTTGCCCAGCACGCTATAGGCAGGATCCGCTTTGCTGCCCCGGAGGAGGTGGATTTGAGCCGGATGCTCGGTGCCTCCTGGCTGCAGCAGCCAGGGACCAGGAGCACGGCCGAGGCGTGAAGCCCGTCCCCCTGGAATGCCGCTGCCCCCCACCCACGTCCACTGGCACGTGCGGCACTTACCCCCGGTCCCCGTGGGGAGGCCACGATTCGCAGCGGGGCCGGCGGACCTGCGGAGAGGGATGGGAGAGATGCTGTAGCAGAGCTGTGGCCCCCAGGCCCCACCGCCGCGGCTGTGCCCTCCGCCGGCGAGCCCCTCCAACCTCCCGCATGCCCTTCTGCTTTTCGGGGGTGGGACCAGCTTATCGAGGTGCGTTACCATCTCTCAACCACTTATTTGACTTATTTTTCCAATAAAACTGTTGCCTGGGGCAGGGCGGAATGCAGCAGGTCTCCAGATCCATCTGTTATTTTGCCAGGAATTAGGCTGTCTGCTGTAAAAGGTGGCTCCTCCATCCCCAAACAGTGCCGCAGTTCCCTACGGCCATCGCAGTGCGATGCTTAATGAGACGTGAGAGTTTTAGGATACTTAAGGCTTTCGTTGCTCCTCCGTTATTTCTTGTCACTCCCTTCATCTGTTCGTGCATTCGTGCCCCGAAACGGTACGAGCTTTATCGTGTTTGTGTTTGGCTGCTGAGCTCGCTGTGCCACTGTGCCGCGGGTCTTTCGGAGCAGACCAGGGGCACAGATGTTCCATCTCCACATCCACGTGATGCTCAGACCTTATTTTGCTTTCACCACCATCCATATTCCAGCTATTTCACGCTGACTGATGCACAAAGGAAAGCTCCCTGTCTCCCTTACATCTAAAACACTCTTTTTTTTCTTGGTTAGGATGGCTTTGGCCGTTGGTAAAGAGACGATGGACAGAACCACCAGCACCACCATCAGCTGAGCCGACAGAAGATGGGCTCAGCCTGTCCTGGCCAAAAGGACCAGACAGCGGCGCATTTTCCAACAGAGCACTACAAGGAGTTAACAAAATGCTCTTTTCAGCAGCTCAGGGCATGGGCTGGCTCTCGCACAGGGCCGCTCACCTCGCAGCACTCCGGGAGCACCGCCGTGCTTCCCAAGCTCTCCCCAGGGCTGCCAGCCCCCTGGAGCCAGGGAAACGCCACACAGCTCATCCCCCAAAAATCCCCCTGCAGGGGCAGCCCCCCTCACCGGGCACCCCGCCTGCGCTCCGGAACACTCCCCACAAGCCGGAGAGCGCCAGCCCAGCGCCGGGCTGCAAGCTCACCGTCGGTGCGCGCTCGCTTCTCCCTTCACCCCACTGCAACGCCCTGGCCACCGCCAGCTGGAAGGCGCCCAGGAAAACCTTCCAAGCAGCGCCAGGAAGGTACCAGCAGCGACGCAGCCGTGTCACAGAGAGCCTAACCCCGTGCACCCCCAACACCGCCAGAGCCCTCATTTCACCCGCGAGGATCCCTGCTCTAAAGCCCCTTAACGCCAGCAAACCCGGCTCCTCGCCGGCGGGGAGCCGGGACTTGCCGCGGCAAAGCCACCGTGCCACTGCCATCTCGTGGAAGGCGCGGCAGCACCGGAGCCGGTGCGGGAGCGGATCCCAGGCTGCACCCACCGCAGCAGGCATTGCCCAGCCCCACAGGCTGGCAGCTACCGGCTCACCAGAGGAGCGGGATAAGCTTGCAAAATATACCTAAACACTGTAGGTTATCTGGAGCATCCCGCCGGGACCCGCGGGGGAACCGCAGCGGGAGTGACGCGGGAGAGGAAAGGGGAGTTTGCTTCCCAGCAATCACAAAAGCCGGGAGCAGACAGAAACAAGCCAGAGAGGATTTCCAGGAGCCCAGGGTATTGACTCAACTCTGCACCCAAACCCAAAACAACAGCAGTTTTCTTTCAGACGGGGCTGAAGCCCCGACCACCCAGCACCCCCGAACGATAGATGGAACTGTTGGAGTGGGTCCAGAGGAGGGCTACTAAAATGACCCGAGGGGCTACTAAAATGCTCCGAGGGCTGGAGCCCCTCTGCTCTGAGGCCAGGCTGGGAGAGTTGGGGGTGTTCAGCCTGGAGAAGAGAAGGCTGCGGGCAGAGCTGAGTGCGGCCGGTCAGGGCTTCAAGGGGGCCCAGAGGAAAGGGGGGGACAAGCTTTTTAGTAGGGCCAGCTGGGACAGGACAAGGGGGGAGGGCTTTAAACTGAAGCAGGGGAGGTTTAGACTGGATCTAAGGAAGAAATTCTTTACAATGAGGGTGGTAAAACACTGGAACAGGTTGCCCAGAGAGGGGGTGGAGGCCCCATCCCTGGGACCATTCCAGGCCAGGTTGGACGGGGCTGTGAGCAACCTGATGTGGTTCAAGGTGTCCCTGCTCCTGCAGGGGGGTTGGGCTGGGGGACCTCGGGGGGTCCCTTCCAACCCAAAACATTCTAGGATTCTATGCATACGCTCACACGCGCGTACGCAGCCTGGTTTCCCCCAGCAAGGCGCCGGCACAGCCCATGTGTGCCGATGGAACGCGTGCTGCTGTCGCGCTCCCTGAGCGGCAGAACAACGAGGTGGTTATTTTTTCCCCTCAGCCTATAATTGCCATCCCTCCTGCCCTCAGCGCCAGGAAGGATTCAGAGTCCAGAGACATGAGCAGCAGCACTGGTGGGGAGCAATGCGAGCCACGTGCTGCTGGTGCCGCTGCTGCGCCCCTCCAGCCAGCCCAGGTGATGAGCACGGGAACCCAAACACCACCAGAGCGCCCCAAAACAGGAGCAGGAGGGTGCCCCGCTGGAAATCCCAGGGGACTGGACACGCAGCTCAGCGCTACTATCACAGGGGAATTTTGCAAGTCAAAAAGTGAGAGCTGAATTCAACCCGATGGAAAGTTGGTTCACGCCAGCAATCATGAACTAGCGTGCTGGAACCAGGCGAAGTCGTGCTTTTTCTCCTGAGCAGACACCAGTGTCACACTCTATATTTTAAATGTCAGCGATCTGGAAAACACTCACTCAGCGATGGCGTAGGAGGCTTCTCCGACTCGTCCCTGTCTTTACGTAGGATCCCTGCAGCAGTTACAAGATGTTCTTCCGAATCAATGGAAACACGGAATTGGACAGTCCCAGACTCCACGTGCTCCCCCTGAAATTGAGAAATGAAATGCTTTCAGACAGCGTGCTACACGCAGACTCCCTCGTACCTGAGATGATTCCGTGCCCTGCAGCCAGAGAAGCGGTGGTGCAAGCTGGAGGCCGAGCTAGCAAGGGGCTGTGCTTTAACGAGCTGATCAAACACCCGTGTCCTCGCGGGGGGACACACACC